CAGGCTAACATTTCTGTTGTTTTTCTGTTTCTTTACCTCAATAAAAACTCAAAGATGACACCAACTTGTCCCAACTTGTCCCAAGAGAATATTTTCCAGTCAAGACCAGAATAGTTTTTTTTATATTGACATGTAAATCTGTCACAGTCTTACATGTACTGTGTTTGACCTTGCATTTTTTATCACTCCTTGCAGTTCGATCACGCACACTTCTTCAGGTACAAGAGGAGTACACTGAGGAACTCCCAGACACAACACAATTTAATCTGAACAGCTCTGATTATCTGAAGGCAGCATCTCCCCTCCCATCACAAAACATGCCATCACTTGGGGAAGTTACACTAGAGGTTTCTGAGATTGAGAGAAAGAGTCAAGAAAATAAAATAAAAACTCAAAAGCGGTAATTTTTGGCTATGGAACATGCAAAGCTGTGTAAATAAGACATAAAATGTAATTTAGATTAGTTGTTTGTATTATAAAATATTGTCCGTTGCAACGATATGTCACTTGACATTTTGTGTGTGCAAGGATTCTGGTTCATTTTTGACATCTCACTGACAGCACTTTGATGGGTTTTGTATGGTTTAACCAATTAAATTATAAGACTGATCAGAGTGAAGTTTAGGTGACAAGTGTCATATTTCCTGCAAGAACATGTTTCTATTGCAACTCTAACCCCACCAAGTGAATCAGGATTGGCTAATTCCAAAGGAACTCAACAATTTTTTGGCAGAAGTCAAAAGTGAACCTTGTAGACAAGACTAATTCACTATAAAATCAATTTCTTGATAGCATTGCTATTTTATCCATTCTTCTTCCTTTGACTTTACACAGTCTTGATTATTTTGAGTTTTGTTGTAAATATATTGCTCTTAGAGGAGACGGGGAAGTTTAGTAATTTTCAGTAGGAAGACATTTTTGTAATAAACGGTATACAAAAACAAAAAGGATAATATTAAATTTATTTTCAGTAATGAAAGACTGCCAGAAAATTTTTTGGGAGCATAGCATCATGTATTCTTTGTATAACAAAAACCTAATGCACATCGTCTTGTTATCAAAATAACTGTGTTGTAAATATATACAATGTATGCACTGTCCTGGTAATTAATGAAGTAGGAGTACATGCACCATTCCACTCTTCTATCTGTACTTCATTAAAGTTCTTTGTTTATAAGGAGAAAAGGAAAAAAATTGTAAAAAAAATAAAGAAATTATGGTTGAGAAAGTCTTGTGAAAGTAGTTTTTGCCATGATGTAGCTGAAAGCCGTCTCTTTAAAAACCTTTGGGGTTTAAGCAGGATGTGAATTCCTCTCCCAAGTGGGTGACCAGGGGTGGGGGGAGGGGTTGGGGGAGGCAGGAAGGGTGTGAATTATTGTTTTGCTCAGTAGTGGAGATAGAAATTTTATTTTGCTTTGTTTTGTTTGTTTGTCTGTTTGTTGTTGTTTTTTTTTTTACTTGAAATAATTTATGTCAAATGCTTTTAGGTGAGCATGGGAAAATAATTATAATTATATATCCTGGTTTTAAAGGATGAATTTTCAAACTCTTATCAAATGGCCCCAGAAGAGAGTCTACAGCTTTCCTCTAAATAATGCAAGTCAGTACTGCCAGGCTACCCCTTGGCAAACACTCTGAGGACAAGGAACCTCCCCCCCTCTCCCATTAGAAAAGAAATACAATAAAGTGGACGGGGTTTGAAACCTTATAACACTGGCATGCCTGTACACGTTTCAACGAAATAATTGGGAAATTTCTATTACAAGTTAACCAAGCCTGCTAGCACTACCCAAGGTGATTTCTAAGTCTTGTAAGAGCTGTGCTACACAAGGATTGGAGAACCATACGTAAGAAAAGCAAGGGCAACGAGAAGCGATATTCTTGTCTTTGGCAGACTTTTCATTCACATTTTGACAACAATCTAGGGAGAAAGAACCCCCCCTCCCCCCTTCCTCCGAATCGATGATGGATTCCCGCTAAGATCAAAACCCCATTTGAAATTAGAAAAGGGATGGTTTTAAATTTTCATTTCAATCGTCCACGGTCCATGGCTTTCATGCTCAATACGCGCAACAGAAGGAGGAAACTTTCGACTTCAGGGGCCCGTTTCTCGAAGGTCCCGAAAA